TTTTTTTTTTTTGATTAACGCAATCAGGTCTGATAACCATCCACTTTTTCAGTGTTCAGAGAAAAAATCTGAAGCTCAATCCAGAGGCTCAGAATAAAACATTCCTTAAAGCAAGGCATTTGTGTGTGAGCAGTGTGTGAGATACGATGAGAACAGTGCCTGGGAGGAGTGTTCCACTGTGTACAGGAAGCCAGAGACAAGACAACCGGCACAGGGCAAGATCTTCAGGACCAGTGTTTAGTGCTCTGAGGGCAGCCCTTCCTGTTGAGAGCTCACAACTCAGATGGTGAGTTTTCAAGTGCCCATGTCTGCATCTCACAGCCTGACCTGCTGTTATTTTACACCCCAGAGATATTGGACAAATGTCTAAAGCAATCCGATGCAATTTCACAGGTTCAGACATTTGGTATCTGTGCTAGGCTAAGGGAGTCAATGGTGAGACCTGCTGTGGCATTGTGACTGAATGCCCCTCAATCAGAATGCCCCCTAAAAGGTTTAACAGCATGCTTTTTCAACACTGAAGGAAGTCTCCACCAAAGCTTCCGGCTATGTCCTGGGTGTTCAGGTGTTAAGGATCAGTCGGAGGCCATGAATTGGGTGATGACTGCAAAAAAGCTCGAGTCCTATGTGGTTGGACCCACTAGCAACTCTCAAAGCAGTCCCCTGTCCTCCTGATAATCTCCAAAATAACTTTCTACATGTGTGTTTGTGTGTTCTTGGACGTGTATGTGATCAGTGCAGGGAGACAGATGCTCAGAGACACTTGGAGAACGGAAAGCCGCTAATGGGAATCCAGATGGTTTCTTTCAATCGGACTGAGTTGAAACATTTCGGAGGCAGACAGATCAACAAACAGAGCCGAATTCTCCACCAGGTCAAGGAGGTCGGTGAGGGAGACAAGAGTAAAGTGGATTGGGCTCCAGAAAACAGCTTCATGCTACACTGTCAGGGAGACAGTACTTCTCTTTCAGCAGCTGGAACCCGTACAGTAACAGCCAAGTAGTCAGCAACAGCTGAACAAATGTGCCGCAAGGCCTTTCGTTTTATTTCTGAGCAACAGATCAGCATTTTGCATCCTCCCCCCATACAAAAGTACAGCCCCGGTATTGCTATTTAAGCATGATGAGAACTTTGGACACATACAGGGGTGGACCGACAGGGAGACACAAAAACCATGCATGAAAGAATACACAGACAAGACCTGGCTGTGAGGATGCGTCTGCGTACACAAATCAGAATGTCTGACTCCCACACAAACCAGTGGTGTATATATTCCTGTCAGCCCGTGAAGAAACAGGCCGATACTGAGCGCGAGAGGGTGAGGCCTGTCTGTCTGTGCTCTAAGGAAGATGGCTGAATGAAGCTGTGCAAGGCACAGTCTTCCCTGAGGGGGTGGGGAGGGAAGTCTCTAGATATGTATGAGCAAGGGCTGTGCCTCGCTGTGGGGGGGGTCACTGTCCGGGGGGGGCAGGTGGTACACCACACACAGGGAGGAATAAAGGCAGCCGACGAACGACATCGCGCTCGCGAAGTACATCACACCCCTCGCCCCACCCACCAGCGAGGTCAGGGGGCCCATCACCACGGAGACCAGGATCTGAGCCAGGAAGTACTGGCAGCTGAGCAGGGAGATATCCATGCCCATCCCTCGCCGCGTCCCGTCCTCTGTGGAGCCTGTGAACTGGAGCGACACAGGCAGACACACAGCGTTACAAAACAGACAGTACCAGACACACATCCAGTATAGCTAAATACACTGCTGCTGCTTAAATTACACACATACAGGTATTACTGTAGGATAAAATAGCCAGACAGTTCCACAATCTGAGGGTTAAGGCAAGGTAGATCAAACCTAATGAGCAGAATAAATAAATCCTACACTTAACCTTTTGTCTCGGTTGACAATTAACCGATTACAAGCAGTTGCCTTTGTAATACACTAGTCTTCAGAGGACATCACAAATGATATTCACAAATGCAGATTTGTTCCTTATTTGGGGCGATGTATTGTTTTCAGTTGGTCCTACACATATTTGCTAACAATTGACCGCGTGTTGCCACATCGCAAAATGTACATTGTGGCTTCAGAATAATTTCAAAGATGAGCAACAAAGTTCCTTCTCTGCCTGATGGGGTCCTGACTGGTTGCAGACAGGTACCGATTTTGTTTAGCCTTGGGCAGGCGAGACTATGAAAGGACTCAATCGGACTATTTAAAAGCCCCAGAAAGCATTGACAAAGCCAGCCCTAGAAGAGCCTAGCCCAAAGCCAACTTGTGGGCACCTGGAGAAAGATTCACCGAACAGCTGGGTATGACTGCTGTATCAATTAACTAACAAAACCAGCTGGGAAAGACGTGCCGAATCCCCCTCCTGCCCTCTCGTCAGCTTTCGGGCAATCTTTCTCACATTCTTGGTAACGTCCTGGCTGCCCTGACTCAGCAACACGAGGGCCAGGCCACAAAGACACAAGAGGCCCCCCACGCCGGGCCCGGCTCTGACCTGCGGGCTCTGGTAGTACTCGCAGAGCAGGGAGTAGGGCAGGGTGCACAGCGAGGAGAAGAGGACGCCGTAGGTGACGCACAGGGACAGCACCACGTACAGGTTGGTAGAGAGGGTGGCGAGACCGGTGCCCAGCCCGAACGCCAAGTACGCAAAGAAATAGAGGGAGCGCAAGGAAAAACGCTCCTCCAGCTTCTCCAGGATCGCTGAGGGACGGGCGGAGAGAGAGGAACAGGAGCGGGAGAAAAACAAGGAAAGAGAGAGGAGGACGAGGAATGTTAGCAGTTAAAAAGATGAAGGCATACTTGCAGTTGGCCGGGTAGCGGGCCGATCTGTTTGTTTGTCACTCTGTCAGTGCCACAGAGTGACAAACCCCAGCGAGGACATTTCCCCCCGACACCTGTGTCACCGTGTCTGGATCCAAGACAGTGACGCTAAACACGCAGCATGAGGGTAACCACGGTAACTGCCGTTGTCTCAGGTTTGAAATTGGGTTTGTTTTCTGTAGGTATCATTTTTAGCTTGAGCATGACCCATCGCAAAAATCAGTCACTGTGTCGTTGAAGATTTGAATGCTCCCTCGGTTTGTTTTCTTCAAGTAACTGGGAAGCATTTTTTTTAAATTGAATGCAATTCTACATTAGTAGTGGCAGCGACTGGCCACGCTTCAGAGGCTGTATTGCTCAAAACTGTTCCCTGTGAGAGTGAGAGCTTTACAGACAGTGCAGCGTGGGCAAGACCATGCCACAGTGCCAACATCAGAGAAGGATGCTGGCACCACAATGTCCTAGCTGAGTGTACAAACGTCATGACTACAATGTGGTATATTTTCAGCACAGTGTCAGCACTGTGTCTTACTCCTTGCTGCCTTGCTGTTATTCTGTGTGAGTGCATGCACGCACAAGGCTTACAATCAATGTGTGGACAAACTTTGAGAAAATGTTCCTATATAAGTACAGTACATGGTGGACATAGGTACAGGTGACATAGGTACATTCCCACAACATGAATGACTTTTATTTAGGACTTTTTTTCATACACCAGGTGGCATCTGCTAAGTTTGAAAGTGTCAATATCCGCCTTAAAGTCCTTTAAACGTGACAGTGCCAGAAGCATTTGGGTACCACTAAGATCAGTGGCTGTAAATGCATTTCTAAATGTTTTCTAAATGAAAAATAGTGATGAGGTTTTCAGAGAAAGACAGATTTGTGATAATGACCACCCTCTACTGACATGTTTCGAAAGCTTGCCGAAC